CTCCAAGGTCTCTTCCAACTCTCTTATACTGTTACAGAACCCAAAGGGAAGAACAGAAGACTCGTTTTCACAACCGCACAGCCAGACTCACTGGGGCGAGGAGGGTGAAGCACGTTCCTGTTTGTGGTTGATACTGCCAGCCTTGCTTTGGGGGTGGGCAGCCTCCCCCGGCACCCCCTTCATGAGGGTCTAGCTTCCCCCCCAGTGGCTGATCTGGGGCTGTTTCCTGCCGATCTGGGTGTCGGCCGATCACTCCGGGATCTGTCCTCGGCTGTTTGTCCCTTTGGGCCTCTGGCTATCTGTTGACAGCTGGACGCCAAACGTCCAGGAATTCACTACCAGTTCTGGAATTCCTGGATCAAAAGATTAGTTCCTTCCCAGCTGGAACCGGGGCTGAGGGCAGTTGCGTTTAGTGGTTAAATACCACTTCAAGTGTTGCAAGATCCCACCTGGGTCGGTCACCGGGACGAGAGGTTTAGTCTTCCAAGCCACTGGGTTCTGGTAAGAGTCCGAAAGCTCGGAGAAGTAAGCTTCCGGTGCCAGATTGGATCCTGCAACATTATCCTGGGACAGGTGGATTCAATTTCATTTAAGGTGTTTCCGCTGCCACGTTTCCCGGCTCCCGGCTGGGGGTGGCCTGTCCGTCTTGCACCTGTCTGCCCCTCGTCGTGGCTCTGGCTGGTTTCTTTCTGGCCTGGGGAGGGCGTCTCTTCACTTGTGTAAGAGGGGTTTTCTTACAGGTGTGTGCACAAGAGTGAATTCCTGCTTGGCAGAACTGCACCTTTCTAAGGCTTTGGGGAAGTGAATCCGCCTAGGATTAGCTATTCTGATTAGCTTCGTTTCTGAAGACTTTCGCTGACTTTTTGCCTTTATTTAGACACCTTTAGGGCAGGGGTAGGCAAGCTTGGCTCTTTTATGACTCGTGGACTTCAACTCCCAGAATTCCTGAGCCAGCTGTGCTGGCTCAGGAATTCTGGGAGTTGAAGTCCACGAGTCATAAAAGAGCCAAGCTTGCCTACCCCTGCCTTAGGGCATGGTTTTTTTTTTTGAAGTTGTTAGCATCTGCCGTCCTTAATTCAGAAACAGAACAATCCATAAAAAAGGAAATGCACGCAGTTCAGATTCCAGAGCAGATTAAGAGGGCTGACCACGCTCCTTTCTTTAACCACCATCCTTGGAGGGAGGGGGCATCAGAATTGGGGTGCCCTGAGAGACGTCGCTCCAAGAAAAGATTTGTTTCAGTGGGGAGGGGGCCCCACCTGCCTCTCTGAGCGAAGGGGCAGCTGAGACTCCTGCAAGGCGAGCCGCACAAGCAAAGAGGAGCAGTTTTTATTTCTTAAGCTCCACCCTGAATTAGCCGTACGTAGCAAATCTCAATTTTAATTGCTTCACATTTATTGTCTGACATCAGTATGCCACCTAGAGTTGCCTTATTGGTGCGATGGGGGACATATAAATGTAATAAATAAAGTACATTGCAGCCCTAAGCAAGCCATGATTCCCCCATCCTAATTGATTCCAAGCCTTAGTTTCTGCAAGTTAATTCCACCCCCCAAAAAGAGTAACAAGTGTAACACACACACACACACACACACATTAGAGCACACCAGCGGAGTGAGGCTATCCTTCCTTTTCTTTGGACCCCACCCCCATCCTGCTTCTCTTCCCCCACCCAGGAGATCACTTCCAAGGGCTTCCTGGAAGGGCCAGGGGCCTCTTCAAACGGAATAAGAGTTGGAAGGGACCTTGGAGGTCTTCTAGTCCAACCCCCTGTTCAAACAGGAGACTCTATAACAATGGTTCCCCAGCCTTTTGGGCACCAGGGACTTGGTTCCGTGGAGAAAAGTTTTTCCGTAGACCGGAGAGTGTGTGGGTTTATGTGCTGCCTGCATCCCGTGGATGGGTCTTTGATTGTTTGTGCGGACTGGTACCAGTCCACGGACCGGGGGTTGGGGACCCCTGCCCTATACCATTTCAGCCAAATGGTTGTCCTGTCTCTTAAAAAGCCTCCAGTAATGGAGCACCCACAACTTCTGGTGGCAAGCTGTTCCATTGGTTAATTGTCCTCACTGTCAGGAAGTTTCTCCTTAGTTCCAGGCTGCTTCTCTCTTTGATCGGTTTCCATCCGTTGTTTCCTTGTCCTGCCTGCAACTTGGGAGCATAGTTTGACCCCCTCTTCTTTGGGGCAGCCCCTCAAATATTGGAAGGTTGCTATCATGTCTTCCCCCCCCCCCCGTCCTTCCTTTCCTTAAACTGGACATACCCAATTCCAGCAACCGTTCTCCGTATGTTTTAGCCCCCAGCCCCGTGATCATCCTTGTCGCTCTTCTCTGCACTCTTTCCAGAGTCTCAACCTCTTTCTTACATCACGGCGACCAAAACTGGATGAAGTAATTCCACGTGTGGCCTCATCCACGGCTTTGTAAAGCGGTACTAGGACTTCAGGTGATCTCTGCTGGGTGCTGGGCTGGATCTAAGCGATGCTGGTGCTGCCACTTGGCTCGGGACTGACCGTGGGGTTTCGCCACCCCCCACCCCCCGTCCTTATCAGAGCTCCGCAGAAATTCTGTGCCTAAAAAAGGACCCCGTCTTTTTACGGAAGCGATAAAGAAGGAGATCCATACCTGCATTGTTTGAATTTCTTCCTACTTCCAGCTCCGAGGTCTCCGTGCCCGCCTGGGGTGGGTGCCTGGCACTGCCCTCAGTTGCTGTCTGGGCCCCAACCTCTTCCTCCTCCCCCCCCCCCCGCCTGTCCACGCCCATTGGGCAATTTCCTCTTTATCTTCACGGCTTGTTGACTTTATGGCTCGCCCTGTTATCAGGGTGTGTATTTTACGAGGCATGCCAAAAGCAAAGTGTGCAGAAACGAAGCCAGAAGGGACCTTGTGCTTTTTCCAGCCTGAGTGCTGTAAAATTTTCTTGTCAAGCCCAGCAGGATGTGGGACGGTCACTGCTGAAACAGGAAAGACCAACGGTCAATTTGTGCTGCTCCGATTCACAGAGTCGCCCTCAAAACACTGAAGGGCTCGGGGTCTTCTTAAAAACTGCCCACCCACCCCCCACCTACATCACATTAAACTGCTCTTTGTTCTCTAAATGTATGCCACCTCCAATAAAAGCACAGGCAGTCCTCGACTTATGACAACTGGAATTTCCGTTGCTAAGCAAGGTGGTTGTTAAGTGAATCGTGCAGTCATTAAGTGAATCCCCGTGGACTTTGCCTGTTGGAAGCGGGCTGGGAAGGTCCCGAGGGGCGAGCAGGTGGACCCTGGGAATCCGCAGCCCTCGTAAATTACAGGCTGGTTGCCAAGCGCCCGGACTTATGATCACGTGGCTGTGGGGATGCTGCGACGGTCGTAAGTGCGAGGACCGGTCACAAGTCACCTTTTTCAGTGCCCTTGTAACTTTCAACGGTTGCTAAACAAATGGCTGCAAGCCGAGGGCCAGCGAAACTCTCTGCAAATCAATTCAGGAGATCCGTTTTCATTAGAAAAACAAACATGTTTATTAAAAGGCCGACATTCCCAGTGGGGGCCCTTCCCTTCGGCTGCTTCCAGATCGGGGCAGGACCAACCGGCCCCACTTCAGAAGAGGCGGGCGGGCAATCCGGACGAAAGCGGAGGGAGGGAGGGAGGGAAAGTCACGGCCAGGTGCGGGGGTCCGGGTTCAAGGAGTCACGTCCTCTTCTGGCCACCCAGGCCTCCAGCCGAGCTTTCATATCCCCCCCCCAAACGTTTAAAATCCAGGCGGAAAATAATTTAAAACACACAAATATATTATTTCTGTCTCCCAGAAGACTTCAGGAGAAAACTTCCCAGGGCCGCTGATGTTCAAGAGCCAGCGAGATAAATTCCTGGTGGAGGGAGAAGGAAAAAAGAAGGGGGGGGGGGTGTCACAGCCAACACAGTACTCAGCGGTGGGGGCTCTGCAGGGGAATCCCCCCCTCGCCCCTCCAGCCAAGGCTGCTGCCCAGCAAGGAGGCCTGGCTTGTCCCAGCCCCCCCCCCTTGAGAGGATCTGGGGGTCCTCCTTGACCCCAGCAGCAGGCAGGCAGGCAGGCAGCGGCCACGGAGGCCCTCGCCATCCCGGCGGGGGCAGGTTGGGGGAGGCCAGCGGGTCCATCCACTCGGACCTCAGCAGGCCAGGGCTTGGGGGTGCAGCTCTGGGCCCCACCTTGCACAGGACAGGTCAAGCCGGCCCAAGGTCAGAGGGGGGCCACCCAGGTGGGGGCAGGGGTCTGGGAACAGCTCACTCAAGAGAAGGAGGGACCCGGCACGCCTGGCCTGATGGAGGATCTGGGGGGGGGGGTGTCCATCCGTGGGAGGGGGAAAGTTTTGTTTGGGCAGGACTGCAGCTACAGCAGTTCTCGGTTTCTGCTTGTGGCCTGGTTGGTTTTCCCCTGGGGGGTGGGGAGAGCCCCAAACGGGCCAAGTGGGGAGATGATGCCCCAGAGACCCGGCACGGAGGTGGAGGAGGAGGCGGAGGCTGTTGTGGATACTGTCGCCACCCAAGGGAGCCGCTCGGCTGCCCGGCTGAGGCTCCAGGCGAGAGACGGGGAGTGTGAGGGCTGCTCTGGGCACCAGGGGCTTCTCTCAGCCCCCGGAAGGAGGACAATTCTGACATTTTGCCAGGAAACCTGCAGAGACTTGTGCTGGCAGCTGCCAGGAGTTGTGACCGTCTCCAAGGGTGTCAAAGGAAAAAATAAAATAAAGCCAATCAAATCTCCCGTTCTTATTGGTTTCGCTTGTTTCAAAGCAGGGCTGGCCAACCTCGGCGACTTTAAGGCTCGTGGACTGCAACTGCCAGGATTCCCCAGCCGGCAGGGCATTCTTGGGAGCGACCGGATGCCGTGCCCTCCTCCCCCCGCCCGGCCGGGTCCCTGCAGAGAGGCTGGCTGGGGAATTCTGGGAGTTGAAGTCCACGAGTCTTAAAAGTCGCCAAGGTGGGCCAGCCCTGCTTCCTACGTTTACTTCTTCCTGTTAAGGGCGAGAAATCCAAATTTTAAGGTTTCTTCCACTCCAGCACTGCGTAAAAACCCTTGAGAACCAAGATGCTCCCTGCCCCAAAATTAAACAAGACCAAGAAATCAGTGAAGCTCCTAAGCAGCCTAAAAGGTGGGGCTGAGAGGATTTGGGGGGGGGGCAATGTGGGTTGCTGGGAAAAGAGCAAATCCATGCCCAGTCTGGGATCCTGGGAGGGAGGGGCTGGCACGAAGCAAAGCCCTGCTAGGACTGGGGGGGGCGCACGGAGCCCGGGCACCCCACTGCAGCTGCAGAGTAGGTGCAAAGAGCAGCCAGGAATTGGTGGGAGGGGGCTTATTAGGGTTTATGAGCCTGAGGGAGGGGAGGGACAGGGATGTGTCTGGAATCGCAGTGGGCACGCTGGAGGGATCTTTGCGGGTGACCCTGGCAGGGGCAGAGTAAAGAGAAAAGGGTCGTCATTCCTAATGGCCGGATCCAGCCCAGGGTATTGGGTCTCCTGCTTGAGCTGGGGGCTGGCCTAGATCAGGGCTTTTCAACCTTTTTACCCATTGTGCCACTTTTAGGATATGGCAACATCCGAGTACTGCCAGTCGCCTAGCAAGGGGTCAAAAACTTGATGACCCCAAAAAAGGAAAAAAGTGATGAAGTACAGGTAGTCCTCGACTTACAACAGTTCACTTAGTGACTGTTCAAAGTTAAAATGGCACTGAAAAAAGTGCCCCCCAAGGCACAGCCGAGCAAGACACCTGCCTACCCGCCCGCCCTCGCTCTTCCTCCTGTCCGAGGTTTTCATTGTTGTGAGCATTTCTGCTGAGGATTGGCAGCGGGGGTGGAGTGGGGGGGTGTTTGGTTTTTATTCCCCCTGTCTGCTGGGTGGTTGCAGCAGGTTTTGGTCGCTTCACATGACCCTGGGACACTGTGACCGTCATAAATATGAATCAGTTGCCAAGCATCTGAATGTAAATCACAAGGCCCTGGAGAGGCTGCAACATTCCAGCTGATCGGCGCTTCTTCTGGGCTCAGCAGAAGCAGCAGGATCAGTGCTGAGCTCCAGCTGGATCCTGGCGCTGATCCTGGTGCTTCCGGTGAGCCCTGACAGTCCCAAAGAAGCGCCGATCAGCTGGAAAGCGGCACTGATCCTGGCGCTTCCGCTGAGCCCTGACAGCCCTGCAGCTCCAGCCGTCTCTCACTCAGGCTTGTGCGGTGCTGCCACCGGTTCAGTTCACTCCCCTCCCCCGCTACCACTTTTCTAGGATGGTCACGTGCCACCTGCCAGGTGCCAATGTACCACAGGTGGTATCTATACCACTGGTTGAAAAGCCGTGGCCTAGATGACCTCCAAGGTCCCTTCGGACTCGGCTATTCTGCTGCCACACCAGCACATCCCTCTGTGGCCAGCGCCCACGGGTGACCCTATGCCAGGCCCAGGATGCCCACCTGCCAGCTGAGAGAGAGCACGGCAGGAGCCTGCCTGGGGCAAGAGGGACCCCCCAGGGCAGCCCGGCCCCCTCCTCACCTGTGGCAAATCTCTTCTTCACCAGCGACATCCGGTAGCCGCTGCCCACCAGCTCCACGTCGGCCCCCGAGACGGTACTGCCCTCGCTGGTGAACTGGGCGGCCACCGGGGTGGGCCTGCTGGGGCCGTCCAAGGGCTCCCAGCTGGCCAGGAGGCGGCCGGAGCCTGAGGGTGGGGAGAGAGGAAGGTGAAGGGGGTGCTGCTCCCCCCTCCCGCCCTGCCCACGGCTGAGGAAGGGCAGCCTGGCCTGCCCCACGCCCGGCTCACCTCCCTGGCCCTGGGTGCTGGGCACGTCCAGGAGCCGCCAGAGCAGGCGCTTCTCCTCCAGGTTCCTGCAGGGGGCGACAGAGGGGGTGCTCTTGGGTGCAGCCGCCAAGGCTGTGACCCCCACCCGTATACTCCAGTCCCAGTCACCTGGGAACAGCCCCCCTGACTGGGCTGCCTTGGGACTGGTCTTTGGCCACCTCTCAATTAGAGGAGGGGGCGACACGGGGCACTGAGGCGTCAGCCCCCCTCCCCCCAATTCCAGTTTTGTTCCTGTTTGATGCCGGGGATCAAAGTCTCCCGAAATCTCCCCTCTGGGGACGAAGGGGCCCAAATGCCGCTCAGGGTCACTCGGGGCACAGCAGGAGAATAAAAGGAGTGAAATAAAACAAAATTGGGCTTTTCCCGCTGCCAAAAGGGGAGCCGGGGGGGGGGAGGTTGGCCGTCGGGCATGGGACCCCCAGACAGCCACAGAAGCCCAGCTTCCCCACCCCCTTTGGCAGGTGCCCACACGGAAAGCCGGGGTGGGGGTACCCCGAAGGTGTCCTCCCCCCCAGCCATCTTCATGAAAAGCTGGCTCTGGCCTGGCCTTTGCCCCTGCCCCATGGGCAGACCTGGGGGGGAGAGCCCTGCGGGGGACAGGCTTGCTCTGCCAGCCCCATGGAGGGAGGGGAGCCTGGCCAGAGGGGAAGGGCGCCCCTTTGCCCAGCCTGTGGGCCATCTGAGGCAGCCGCCAGCTGTGCCCACCATGCCAGCCTGCCTCCTCCTCCTCCTGGGGATTTGCCGGGTTCGTCATGAGCCCCTGGGGGCCCCTGGGGGTCCTTCCGGTGCCAGCGGCCGAATCCCGCGCAGGTGCCGCCTCCCCCGGGGCCCTTAATGCCCCCTTCCCTCGTCCCCCTCCCAACTTACCAGCAGGCCTTGGGCCGGGGCTGGACGTTGGCCACGGGCTCCTCGATGGGCAGCAGGACCTGCACGTTGGTGAGGGCCACGGCCGAGGCCAGGGCGGCCGCGTTGTAGCGATAGTCCACGCTCACCCGGGTGGCCTCCGCGGCACACTCCCAGCTGACCGACAGCTGCAGTGGGGCCCACTCCGGCCCCTGCCTGGAGTACTGGGGGCGGCAGGGCGGGCAGGGGTGTTTGTGTGGGTGTGTGGGTGTGTGTCTACATAGGTGTGTGTGTGTGTTTGTGCTTCACACACCTGCCCCCTCCCACCCGGGTCTGTTTCCCGCCTCAGCCAAGAGGAACCCAAGAGGACTGCCCCCCCAGCCCACCTGCCAGCCCCCAGGAGAACAGGGACTACAACTCCCATTTGCAGGGAGAGCAGCTGGGAGTTCTTGGAACCGTAGTCCCAAATGCAGGAGAGCCTGAGATAGCCACCAGGAGCGAAGGGGCCACGGGTAACCGCCAGCCTGGATGCCCCAGATGCCGACCCCCAAGAATGGCCACCCCTATCATCTTCTCCAGGGAACGTTATTAAGAACACCACCCACCCTCACACAGGCTACACTTAATTAAACTAAGGTTAATTTCACTGTATACATGTTATACTTTGATAATAAAGGGTTTATTATTTATTGTTAATTGTTTTCTGAGGGTGGAATGGACCCTCTCCACGCACTGAAGCTAAGCAAGGCAGGACTTGGTTAGTCCGTGGATGGGGGACCACCAGGAGACCCCAGGGCGCTGGGAGACTGGGAAGCTGGGAAACACCCCAGGAGGAGGAAGTGGCAAAGCCCCCCCCCTGGAAACACCAGCCCCACCAAGGCCTCCCCTTTGCACCCACCACAGTTCGGGGAGGGGGTCCTGCCCACCCCTCATCTGGGATTCAAGCATCTTCCCGGTTGCTCCGGCCTGCCCTCATGGCCAGATAGGGAAGGTCAGCGGGCAGAGAGCCACACCGGCCCTTGCAGCTCCGAGGGTCAAAGGCTTTGGACGCCCTGCTGACCGGCTGACTCCCCCCCCCAGGCAGCCTCACCTGGTATCTGAGCAGAGTCACGTTGTAATAGGGGGCGGCCCCCGCCTGCTCGGCCTGTTTCTGCAGGTGCCCGGTCAGGGCGGCCATGTTGAGCCAGAAATCCCTACTGCTGGGGTCGCTCTGCGAGGAGTCACTGTGTGGGGGGGGGCAGGAGAGACAGGGAGGGGTCGGTTGGACCAGTTGGTTTTTGATTGCAGCCGCCAGGCCCCCCTCCCATCTCCCCAGCCCCCCTCCAACTCCTATGCCTGCCAGGGGCTTCCAGAGCCCTGTTCCCCCCATTACTACCCCCCGCCCGCCCTCAGCCCCCCAGCAGCCGTCCCCCCCCTCCGACTGGCACCTGAAGAGCAGGCTGGCGTTGGGCAGGAACTGCTCAATGGGCGCCGTGTGCAGCAGGCGGAAGCTGAGGACCGGGGGGGCCGGGGCGCTGCTGAAGACCCGGATGATGCCCGCCGGGAAGGACATGGTCAGCTCCCCGGTCACCTTGACGAGGCAGCTGCGGAGACAGGGAGGGCCGGTCGGGGGCCGGGCCTGTTCGCTCCCCCCCCCACAGCCCTGAAGCGGGCAGAGGCCCCGGCCGGTGTGGCAGCCCCCAAGTGGGGCAGGAGAGGGGCCCCTCTGCCCACGGGCCCCGGGGGAGGTGCTCAGCCCACACCTCCAGGAAGAGGGGGGGCCGTGGGGAGGGCTGGGCTTCAGGGGTGCCAGTGGGTGGCCCGATTGGCTGAAGGGCTGGCTGGTCCAGCAGGTGGAACCTGTGTGAGGCCAGGGAAGGGGCGTCCGCAGCCCCCCGCCCAGCAGAAGGGCTCCAGGGTCACAGCCCCCCCTGCCCCCCCAGTACCTGTCCGCCTTCTGGCCCTTGAAGTAAGCGTGGATGTATTCCGTGAAGGCCGTGGCCACGGGCAGGGCGCCCTGGGAGCCCAGGACCACGGGGGAGGGCCCACGGGAGACGCCTGGCACGGGAGGAAGGAGAGTGGGGTCCCTCAGCTGCTCCCGGCCACCTACGGGGCCCGCAGCCCAGGCGGGAGTCCCGCCACTCTCCCCCCCCCCCGACCGGAGAGCACCTACCCAGGGCTGGCGGCTGCTGCTGCTGCTGGGGGGCCGTGAAGAGGCTGCGCTCGGTCAGGGCGGAGGTGCTTTGGGAGGAGGTCAGAGTGGACAGTGGGGCAGGGCTGAAGGAGCGGGGCTGGGGGGGAAAGAGAGGTCAGCCACAGGGCACCGGTAGCCCCCTGCCCCCCTTCCTCTGCCAGGGCAGGAGGCCATCCGGCTGGTGGGAAAACCTCAGCATCGGGGGCTTAGCGGGGGGGGGTCCCAGTGCCAGGCCCCATAACTGCTGGGGCTCTGCCTCTGGACCCCCCTCCGTCAAGATGCCGCCCTCTGGGGCCAGGGAGCAAAGGGGTGCCTGGAGGGTCTGCGGAGGGCGCAGGGCTGGGCGTTTGGGCTCGGGGGTGGGTGGGTAAGGCTGCCCCTGCCAGGGTGGCCCCTTCTGGGACTGGCACCTGCGTCTGGGTCAGCCAGGGCCACCCGAGGGCCCTGCCCACCACCTGCCGGCCGCAGCACTCACCGTCTCGGCCCCAAGGCTGGTGGCCGACGTGGCCGAGGGCCTCTTGCAGAGGGTTCGCCGAACAGGAGCCGCCGTGGGGGGCCAGGGGGCATGTGGGGCCGAAGGAGGGAAGGGGACTGAAAGGCAAAAGAAGGGGGGTGACCGAAGGGGCAGAGCAAACGGGGTGCCCCTTTCCCCCCAAAGTGGAAGCAGTTTCCTCCCAGCCCAGGAGAGCCGCCCACGGCCCCTCCCAGAAGTAGCGGGGCCAACGTCCACCGGGCTTCCCCTGGTGGCAGGCAGTTCCACCGACCAATCCCATTTCCGAGCGCTGTTCCTCTTTCCCTAAATGCCGGGATTTGCACCCAGGGCACGAGGGGAGGGGAGAGAGCTGTTGCTGTTTCCCTTTGCCCTCTGCACGGAGCCTGAATCCAGGTTGTGGGGAGAGACCCCTCCAGGGAACAGAGCCCCCCCCAAGACGGAGCTGCCAGGCCTCCCTTGTGGCCCCCAGCAACCCCAGGCAGAATCCCAGGGGCTGCAGAGGGGGGGCTTGGGGGGGCAAGTGGGCCTTGGGCTGCACTTCTCAGCACGTACTTAGGGGGGGGGGAGCCAAAGGTTCACTCTCTCCCCTTTTGTCTCTCTCTCGCTGCCACCCACCCCCTCCTCCGCCCCCAGGAGCCCCAGCCCCTTTCACTCCCCCCCCACTCACCGTGCTCAGAGGAGGCATCCGAGGCAGAGGGGCCCCTGCTGTCCAGGTCGCGGCCCCGGGGGGCCCAGGGGGAGGGGCTGGTGGAGTCCCCGCTGCTGAGGGGGGCCGGGGAGGAGGAGGAGGAGGAGGCCGAGTTGGAGGAGAGGCAGCTGTCGCGCTCCCCGGTCCGAGGGGCCCCGTCCGAGGCCGCCGGGCTCCGAGGTCGGGCCACCCAGAGCCGCCGGCCCCCCATCCCGGCCTCCGAGGAGAAGAGGTCGGGGGAGCAGGTGGAGAAGGCCCGGGCCCCTGCGGGGGGCCAGGAGGCGCCGGAGACCGCCCAGCCCGGCTCTGCCCCGAAGCGGGCGTCCTGGGGGGCGGAGGGCTGGGGCAGCCAGGGGTTGGGCCTGTCCTCGGGCAGAAGCGCCCCGCGGCTGCCCCGGAACACGAGGGCGGATTTGGGGGTCCTTTGGCCCGGGGGGCTCAGGGGGGTGGCCGGCCGGGAACTCCACAGGCGGGAATCCGGGGAGGGTCCCGTGGCCAGGTGGGGGGGAGAGTCCAGGCCAGAGTCTTCCACGTTCTCGGGGGAGGAGGAGGAGAAGGGGGAGGGGCTGGAGGCCAGCAAGTAGGCTCGGGGGGCTGTGGGGAGACAGAAGGAGAGAGAGGGCAGAGGGTTAAGGCGGAGTCGGGGGCTGCAGTGCCCATCCACCTGTCGAGAGAACACTGATACTGGGGCGCAAAGGCTGATGGGGCGGCCCCGAAGGGCGTGGCCCTAGATTGGACCCACCCCTCAAATCCACTGATCTGCCTCACTTGTGGTCCTAAAGCTCTCCCCCCTCCCAGGGTGTCTCTGCAGTGGGCATCAGGCGTGGGCACCCCCCCACGGCCGGCTCCGCAGTGAGGCCCAGCCAGGACAAAGCAGCCCATCCACCCTGCTTCTCCCACAGACCCCTCCCCAGCCGGGCAGTCTGAGCACCGGGATGCCCCCCCCCCACCAGCAGGGTCTGCCCCTCTGCCGACTCTCTCTGGCACAGCTGCCCTCTGGGAAAAGGGGCCGGGGGGGGAAAGTGAGGCCTGTGGGGCAGGAAGCAGGGAGGGGCACAAAGGCTCGGCCACCCACGCCGGGCCCAGCCGAGCCCCTTCCCCAAAGAGCCTCGGAGTCTCCAGCCTCGGAAAAGGAGAGCAAACACGGGACTCGCTCGGGAGCCACAGCGTTTCCCAGGCCAGATCTGGGCAGCTCATCCCCCCCTGGGCCTTTGGCTAAGGGAGGGTGGCATCAAGGGGGGGTGGGCTTGCGGCAGGTGCCATCTGAGCATCCGCACCCAACCCAGGTGAGCAGGGGGCTCCAGGTCAGCGGCCAGGACCAGCGGCCATCGGGGCCGATGCCTCCTGCAGCTCGGCTGGGCCGGGAGCAGCTTGGCTCATGGGCAGAGCCGGCAGCTGGCACCAAGCGGCACAGCAGGTCCCGTGCCCAGCCAGCGCCTTCTGCCCCTGGTCACATCACTGCTCTCTTCAGCCAAGGGGGAGGGAGACCCCCAGGCCTGTGCTTGGGGAAGGACTCTGCTCCCATGAGGCACTGCCGGCCATTCGCTCCCAGGCTGTGGGGCGTCCAGACCTCCGGAGACAAAAGAGGCTTCCAGAGATGGGCTACTTTCTCCCCTTGGTGGGCAGAGCCCCCCCCCCAGCCTCTCAGGTCCGGGCCTCGTGTGGGTCAGACCCAGACGCTGCTTTCACCCACATCGCTGGGCGGAGAACCTCCATGGACAGCAGCAGTTTCCTCTTCCTGATGACATGCAGCAAGGTTGGGTCCCCTGGAAGGGTGGGCAAAGGGCGGGGGGCTCCTCCCTCTTGGGCACTCCCTTGCCCCCCCCCCCCGCTTTCAAAACCTCTTCCCCATACCTGGCAGAGGCAACCCGGCTCTCTGCCCACGCAAGAGACACGCAAGACACACGCGGGGGAACACACACACACCCCTTTTGCCTGCGTAAAAGCCACACTTCCTGCCGTCAGGAAGGCCTTCTCAAAACGCGTCACGGCAGACAAAACGGGTTGGTCCTGTTACATCCCCCCCTTCTCCCCCCCCCCGAAGGCCAGAAAATACTAGGTGGAAACAGATAATGAAGGACCTGATCTGCAGCCAGGGAGCCTCAGGGTGGCCACAACACGGAGAAGCAGCTGGCAAATGTGTGTGTGGGGGGGGGGGGGACAAGGCCTTATCCACTCAACTTTTTTCATCCCCTTTACTCGTTGGAAAAGATCTAGACAAGCTTGAACAAGGGGCCCTATCCAACAAAATGAGTTTCAATGTGGAGAAAAGCAAAGTTTTACATTTGGGCAGGAAAAATCAAAGGTACAGATTGGGCGAGACTTGGCTTAAAAACAGCAACTGGGAGAGGGACCTTGGAGTCCTAGTGGACGATCACTTGACCATGAGCCAGCCGTGTGCGGCAGCAGCCAAAAAAGCTAACATAATCCTGGGTTGTTTATAAACAGAAGCATAGAATCAAGATCAGGTGAAGTATTAGTACTGCTTTGTAAAGCCTTAGTAAACTCACACCTAGAATACTTGCATTCAGTTTTGGTCACCACATTGCAAAAAAAGATGTTTTCTGACAGTGAGAACAATTAACCAGTGGAACCACCTGCCTCCAGAAGCGGTGAATGCTCCAACACTGGAAGTTTTTAAGAAGAGACTGGACAGCCATTTGTCCGAAATGATATAGGGTTTCCTGCCTGAGCAGGGGGCTGGACTCGATGACCTCCAAGGTCCCTTCCAACTTTATTATTATTATTATTATTATTATTATTATTATTATTATTATTATTATGAAGAAGAAGAAGAAGAAGAAGAAGAAGAAGAAGAAGAAGAAGAAGAAGAAGAAGAAGAAGATGATGATGATGATGATGATGATGATGATGATGTTGAGACTTTGGAAAAAGTTCAGAGAAGAGCAACTAAGATGCTTAAAGGCCTGGAGGCTGAAACATAGGAAGAACGGCTGCGGGAATTGGGAATGGCCAGTCTAAGGAAAAGAAGGACATGGGGGGGGGGGACATGGTAGCAGCATTCCAGTATTTGAGGGGCTGCCCCAAAGAAGAGGAGGGGGTCAAGCTATTCTCCAAAGCACCAGAAGACAAAAGACAAGAAACAACGGATGGAAACTGACCAAAGAGAGAAGCAACCTGGCATTAAGGAGAAACTTCCTGACAGAGAAGACAATTAGCCAGTGGAACAGCTTGCCTCCAGAAATTGTGGGCGCTCCATCACTGGAGGCTTTTAAGAAGAGACTGGACAGTCGCTTGTCCGGAATGGCCTAGGGTCTCCTGTTTGAACAAGCGGCTGGATTAGAAGACCTCCAAGGTCCCTTCCAGCTCTGTTCTGAATCTGAATCCACCTCTACGCGGAACAGGTGTGAAGGACGTTGGACTGGCAGAAGAGGGGTGGGGCCAGAAAGGCGGAGGGAGGACCCTCGGGAGCCTGGGATGGGCTGAAGATGCCCAGGGCTGCCGGCTCTGACGAGAGGGGCCGAAGGGCCGGAGAGATGGGAGGCAGGGGAAGGACCGAGGAGGCCAAGCCGGGGTCAGCAGGCGGACCGAGCAGCCTCAGGATGACCCACCAGGAGGTTATCCCGGGTCAGTTCTGCCTGCCAGCCGGGGAAGAATCGGCCCTCAAGAAAGACGCCAAAGGCTGAAGGCAGAGCAGCCACGGAGGCCTTGGGAAGAGGCCCGGAGGCCGCTCTCCCTACCAAGAGGGTCCGGGTGGGGCTCTCCTCTGACCCTCCAAGGGGTCGAAGGTGGGACCCTGCAGGGGAGGAAGGGGACCGGTTCCCCTGGACACTGGGGCCGGGGGAGACCCCAAAATCCCAGGGAGAGCCCAGGAAGCCGAAGGGAGCTCCCCCCGGGGGAACCAAGGACCTGGCCCCCGAGTGTCCTCCTCCGGCCGCCTCAGGCCAAGGCCCGGCCCTGTGAGGTCACTGAGGGTCCAGCCGGATTTTGAGGGCACCCCCCCGTCCTTCCCCCCCCTTCCCTCTGCTGGCCTTTCTCCTCTCTTTTGCCTCTTTGCCCTCAGCACAGCAGCCCCACCTGAGCCTCCTGTGCTGGGGGGGGGTCTCCCACCTGCCTTTGGCCAAGCCCACCCAGCATCCCCCCCCTCTCTCTCTGATTTCCTCCCCAACTTAAGCCCCTGCTGGGCTGGGGGGTGGGGGGTGGGATGCACCTAGGCTTTGGGGAAGCTGCAACTGCCTGGCCCAGCCCCCTCCCCCACTCTGCAAAGACCCCCCCCTGCTGCCCCCAAAGCTCTCTGGGGAAAACGGGGGGGGGGGCTTGGTCACCTGTGAAGGCTTCGTTCTCAAAGGCCGACTCCAGGGGGGGCCCAAACAAGGCGCTGGCGGGGAGGGCCTCTGGCTGGCTTTTGCTCTCGCAGCTGGAGAAAGAGAAGACGGGGGGGGGCGGGAGGGAGGGAGGGGGCGGCAGAGAAAAGACCCCCGTTATTCCCAGCAAGCCCCTTCCCGTGGTGGTGGTGGGGGGCTTGGTCTGGCCAGCAGAGTTCAAGGCGGCCAACATTGTTTTGTAGCCTCTCCTGGAAAAAAGGGGACTGGGGGGGGGAGGGACAGGAGCAGAGCCCTAAAGGGCCAGGGGGGGTCTTTGCTCCTAATATTTTGGATCT